TGTGTGTGTGTGAGTGAGTGAGAGTGTGTGAGTGAGAGAGTGTGTGTGTGTGTGTGTGTGTGAGTGAGAGAGTGTGTGTGTGTGTGTGTGTGTGAGTGAGAGAGTGTGTGTGTGTGTGTGTCTTCAGTATAACCTCTGGATGATCGACACAGATCGTGTCAATGTTGAGTCGCTTCAGAAGCTCCTCCAGACGATTCCTCAGCTCCGCAGACGCCATCGCGACCAACCGCTTATCTGCTTACAGCGCACTGTGATTGGTCCAGACGCACACCGGACTGCTGCGATTGGTCCAGACGCACACCGGACTGCTGCGATTGGTCCAGACGCACACCGGACTGCTGCGATTGGTCCAGACGCACACCGGACTGCTGCGATTGGTCCAGACGCACACCGGACTGCTGCGATTGGTCCAGACGCACACCGGACTGCTGTGATTGGTCAGGAGCCCGGCGCTGAGTAAAGGAACAGCCACGTCTTCATCTACATTCATTCCAGTGAAAGAGCGCCACCTGCTGTTACAGCGCTACTGCTGCACTTCTGCACACCCGCCTGAGACTAGCTCCCGCAGAAAGAGATCGTATCTGGGCCCGCTCCCGCCCGCTAAAGCCCGCATAAAAGTAATCTACATAGATTTTTTTCAGTACATGAAGAAATGTACATGAAATGGTTCTGTAACATCTCCTAAACTCCACAACATCCCAGCATAAACACTCCCGATAAAATATTTGTTATTTAGGCTAAGCATCAACATTCACAAACCACTGTTATTTTTATCAGAAAAGCAAGCATGGGCTGCTGCATGCATGGTTTGGCATGGCTTCCTTTATTATCACTAAAAGCTGACATCTCAGTTAATCTCTATCTCATAAAGCTCTGTTATAACACAATAAATCTATGCACAATGAATCTTTCACAATCTCCACACTTGTGTTAAAATGAGAGGATTCGTGAACTCTACGCTGAGTAGATTCTAACTTAATCACCTCTGATTGGCCATCGCGTTCCAGAAATCATCAGCTGAGTCTGTGATTGGCTACATTGCTCAACCCTTTAAACACGTGTTATAAATAGAAACTATGCCTAGCTTGCACATGTCAATCATTTTAATGTTACTTTTTAAGTTGTTCTTTTTGCTTTTGTGCAACACATAAATAACAATTTCTATGTTTTAGACACTTTATGTTTAGATCATTTCTATTTTGTGGGAGTCCCGCATGTCATATTCTCCCTCATCCCGCACACACGAGTCTCTTCCCACCCGCTCCCGCTCCCACACTCGCCCATCAAGAGCCGTCCCGCGCCGCCCCTGTAGCGTTGGGTCCCGCGGGACTGCAGGTCTCTAGCTCAGGGCCCTTGCTTCTGTACTCCTCACTGTGCTGATGCTGTGCCTGTATCCTGCGTTTGTAAGAGACAAATGCCTCAACACGTTTTACTGCAAACTGTCGCTGAAACACGAGTCTATAATCAATAATAACGCTTCCTCCAGTGAAGAAGTGCATCTGCTGTTGTCTCTCGCATCAAAATCCAGCCACATATGTGTTTAGAGCTGTTTAAACGCTGCTTGATCTGTGCAGATTTCTCTCCTGATTCACACCAGAACACTGACTCACTGGAGGAAGCGTTATTATGGGTTATAGACTCTATGTATTTTAGTTAAAAATGTTTTAATGCTGGATGTGTTTCAGCTTTTGTCTTCTCTAGATGTTAACTGATGGACTGGAGTGCTGTGGATTATTGTGATGTTTTTATCAGCTGTTTGGACTCTCATTCTGACGGCACCCATTCACTGCAGAGCATCCATTGCTGAGACACTGATGCAGTGCTACATTTCTACAAACCTGATGAAGAAACACACTCATCCTGATCTCAGATAACCTGAGAGTGAGCACACGTTCATCTTTGGGTGAACTGTTCCTTCAACATTTCAAACTTTCACCTCAGACACCCACAGACTGACGGACATGAGGTCAGAAACAATCTGAGTGCGAGCTGTCTTCATGGATTTAAAAAAGTCCACTTTTATGTGCAACAATTACAGAGCACCCCCATGCGCTGACAGAGAAGCACTGCTGGAGAGGTGTGTGTTTAATGCTCATGTTCAGGTTTGTTGAAGCAGCAGGTCAGAAGTGACTGATGAAGACCCCCGCTCCACCCGCAGCATCACAGCATCAGCATCAATCTACTACACATAGTGATTCAACACGACCCACACATGTTCACGACCCACACATGTTCACGACCCACTCATGTTCACGACCCACTCATGTTAAGCAGGAGTCACTCTCACTCTACTCCTTAAATCCTGGTTGTTATTAGTTCTAAATACTCACTTTTTAATTTACAATAAAATAGAATTATTGCAAATGTAACATTTTATTTATTTGTTATAATTGAAATTATCAAATAAAATTCATATTTACCTTATTATTATTATCATTTTAATAGTTTTTAAAGATAAAACATAACATATTTGTTAAATAATTCAAATGGAAAAGGATCCAGATCAGATCCAGAACTGGATAGATAGGGTATACGATGGCGTTAAAACCCAGCGTAGGCTATTGCACTTTTAAACTATCTTAACTGAGCGTATACAGTAAACATCATTAACCAGGAGATAACACTGGAGCTGAATCTGTGAACGTCTGTGCGAGCTCTGTGTTCACGAAACATGGCATTGTTCTATCCTCTGGTAATGCAGCACAGCGCAGAACTGATGTCTGATCTGGAGTCCTCTGTCTCTTAATGCCATCCCAGACTTGCTCGGTGAAGGTGAGATCAGATCTCTGTGTGGACCTGTTATCAGACAGCGGTTTCATACTAAATGTCACTGGAGTATTACACCTAATGAATGTTTGGAAATATTACAACACATGTACAAGCGGAAGTTTTTAAGGATTTTTTCTTTTGGCAAAGTCTAAAATTCCAAATACTTTGCACAGTACTGTACTGTATATAATTGTCAGGATGTGTTGAAGGTTTAAAAAATAAAAAGGTAAAGACGTGCAGAAGGCATAAATATCCATTTTGCACAAAGATGCATTTTCACAGTTTCTTCCCACTAGTCTGACCAATTATTTTAAAGTTATCCCATTTAAAGGTAACACTTCTGTGCACTACTTTGCAGCCCCATGATGGAGGAAACCAGGCATCATATTTCCTGAGAAATGGAGGCATCCCTGAGGAAGAAATTACAGCAACGAAGCAGCAAAAGGTATGGTGTTCCTGTGACAATATCCCACAGTTCTGTGCTGAGCTTAACTGTGTTCTGGAAAGTAGCATCTGGGTCATGGACATTGTGTAGCTGGACATTTTTCTAAACACACACATCACACACACCTTCTATGCCTGTAAATGTAGAATTCTGAAGAAATAGCAGGTTCATATTTGAAAACATAACAACGTTAAACATATTACACTGAAGCTTTGTATTTGTATTGTGTTGACCATAAGGGTCAATTTTTAGAAATTGAGATGTATGCATCATCTGAAAGCTGAATAAATAATATTTCCTTTGATCTATGGTTTGTTAGGATAGGACAATATTTGAAAATCTGCAATCTGAGGGTGCAAAAAAATCTAAATATTGAGAAAATCATCTTTCAAGTTGTTCAAATGAAGTTCTTAGCAATGCAGATTACTAATCAAACATTAAGTTTTGATATATTTACGGTAGGACATTATCTTCATGGAACATGATCTTTACTTAATATCCTAATGATTTTTGGCATAAAAGAGAAATGTATAATTTTGACCCACAAATATCCCCCAGTGACTCAACACTGCTTTTGTGCTGCAGGGACACAGATGATAACTGGAAATACACTGTATGTGTTGTGTTTACATCTTAGGTCTACATACAGTGTTGATTAAAAATTCTATACCCATTGAATTTCTGAAGAAGAAAAAAAAGTATAAAATTTAAGGTCAAGCTTAGGAACATTACATTCATTATGTTTAAATACTGATTTATATTTCTATACTCACTGAATGTAGAATTCTGAAGAAAACCAGGTTTACACTTAAAAAGGTATACTTGAAAGGTTATTTGAGATCAAGCTTAGGAGTGTCAGCATGTAATGCAAAAATAAACCGTTGGAGGTTTTGCGCATATTCTCTGTGTAAATACATTGTTTAGTTTCGTTTATTGATTCATATGCTCATATTAAATGTTACAAAATGTTCAAGTACAGTAAATAACACTTCAAAAGGCACATCAGAGACCTCTTAGCAAGCTTTTGAAACGCTTGTTGCTCATAGATGTTTTAAAAATCTAGTAAATATTTAGCATGTATTACGTTGATTATGGTTAGTTACTGGTGTACCGTAATTTCTTGTTTGTATAAGCATACACCACAACTGTTTTATTAAAAATGTTTATTACACTTACACAGCTCAAAATAATTAAATATATTAGCATAAGACTTATTGTAATACAGCCTCTAATGTAATATAGATCTGAGTTCATTTGACTTTCATTAAAATGCAAACATTTAAAGTTTTCTCTCTGGATATTCTCTCGTATCTCATTTCTTAACAGAGTGTACAGCTCAGCTGCATGGTATGGGTGCACAGGAGCAGTTAAGACAGAGCTCAAATACAGTCTCGTCGCAGCCGCTTCCTCAGCAAGAGCACATCTGAGTTTGTCTTCTGCTGCACCATGACTTCAACATCAGAACTGGGCGAACTGCGGGCAATCCCTGGCCTGGTCTTGTTTGGTGGGTGTTCCATGTTCTCACAGCTTCATCTAGCTCATTCTGCATGACAAATAAAGACATTCATGGGCCACGTTCACACAGCAGCAGAATACGGTTGTCAGTCCTGTGTTTGAGTAATTAATACGGTTACTCTTGTGTCAGAAAGTGACGTCGCCATCTTTGATTTTACTTTGGTCGCTGTGGCTATGGTTACTGGTCAGGTTGCACGTTCATACAGAGAGTATTCTAAACACAACTGTAAGCTGCTGTGTGAACGGGACATTTCGAGCCTCACACCTGTAAAGAAATGCGGTTGTCAATCCCAAAAGTTGACAGTGTGAACGTAGCCAGTATTAAAACTGGATGTAGACTGAGCTCTCCGAGACGCCACAACGTTGCTATGGTCAGCACATTCATGGCAGTTTCAGGAGTGAGCTGTGTTCCGTACACACATGGAACCATAATTAGACTTTTTCACACTTCCGGCTTCTGTGTTTCCGGCGTTCGCCAACGCAGGGTAAAGTCACTTCCGGTAACAATGGCGGCGTCTAAGAATAAGTGTTGCTGTAGCGTCCCTCAGTGCACCACTTCTGAACAAAAACAACCATATTTGAGTTTTCACGGGTTTCCTTTAAACGAAGACCAAAAAAGCAAATGGGTCGTCGCTATTAGACGGGAGGAAGGGTCTACGTTCGTAATTCGGAGAGCTAGCACATATGTCTGTGGTCAGCATTTTACCGCTGCTGATTACGTTCCAGGAAGTCCGCGGCTGAAAGTTGGTGCCATTCTCGGTCGTTTCCCATGGAACAATTTCCATGCAGCCCCTTCAAAGGCTGTCAGCTTTTGAAAGAAGTTCGACTTGGCGTGGATGCACATGTTCAGGAGCAGCCGGCGGTCTTAGAAGATGCACCTAATGAATCC